TGAGCTGAAAAAGAAAAGAAGCTTCATCGTAATAATTGCCTGGGTGAACTGCGAATTGTACTAGTACATACAGTCTGGAAGATGTTTACGACACCCGAAGCACACTTCCAACATGTGACATCATGCAATAACAACGAAAGTGATGTGCATTCGATTGATGAAATTTGGCTGCAGTCACGTCTCTACCATGCTATTCAACAAGACAATGATTGTGGGAACAAAGGAATACCATAATACTCGTCTATCAACGTTCATCTGCCTAATCCGGGAAACATCTATCAAATATCTAAACAAAAGTAGGTGCTCAAAATTATGTTCAGTAGATTGAAGTCTGGTACTGAAAAGGTGGAAGTCCATTAGCGTCGTTGTGAATTGAACCCACGGGTAGACGCCACCAGGGTACGAATCCCATCGGGGCCACTGTAAGTTTCAGGAATTCAACACAGAAGAAAGTGTATGGCGTGGCCGAAACCACCAGCTCATGGAGAATCTATAACTATTATTTTTGTTAAGTTCTCTGCTCCAACAACAGACGTGCTATTGCCATGGATGAATGGAATTAGTCTAACGCATCTATATGCTGTATCATACCACAACTGGTCATGCGTGAATCAATCGGTGTACAATAAATTCACAATATGTGAGTAAGCGCAACGAGAATGAACGGGCACGAAATTTATACACGATGAATGTCGGCGATTGGTGGACTCGAAATCGTGGAACAGGTGTAAGGGAAAAATCATGACGGGTCGGCGTGTAAGGGCGCAACGGTACACAGCATGTGACAAAGGGTAAATCTTGAAAACATAAGACAATCTGCATTATCAATTTTCAGAGAATCCCTTCATTTGCCACAAAAGAATACTCGCTTGACAACATCTTCGAAAAGTAAACCACGGGGTTGCAAACTGATCAGGTGCATTGGAAGTATAAGTGTGAAGAAATGTCGTCTCTTTCCGTTTCGTACAGATGTTTAATGGATAGGCTACGAGATCAATAGAAAAACAATTGAGCGATGTCCGTTTTCCTATTTTTACTGATAGCAATCCACGTAATTTGGTACGCCATTTAAGACATATACGGAAATCGCCGGATTTAGAGGCAAAACAATTCTTTCATTTTCATCACGTTACGATCGATACATACTGAAATATTTCCACCAATCAAGCTTGAAGTCGCACGACGAATGATCAAGTTATCTAAGAACCAATCCAATTCCATCACATGAAAACAAACCAGTATAAAAGAAAATATAATTGAACAACAATAGCGGAATGAAACCAATCAGAATGAATACGACAGAAATTGCACTACTGATATTAGTATACACAGCTGCACTGACAGCAAAAGTTGGTGAGTGAAAAAAGAGGCAAACAGAAAAAAAAAAAAATGAGGATAACAAAAGCGAAATATTCTAATTTCAGCATCGCAGAAAACGCGAGATGCAAAATGTGGTGACAAGGACGTGGATGTATCGCAACTGCAAAGCAACTGGAAGGTCCCGATCAACGACCAGGCATTTGACCAAGCCGTCACATGCGACTACACGCTGACTTCCCCAAGTGGAAAGAAAATAAAACTGGAGTTTGTCAAATTCAGTGTTAGTTACAAATCATAATTTAATTGCATTCGATTCCTCTA